ACTAACTGGGAATAGTATGGGCTTTTGAAACTTAAAAGTCCACCCCTGTGACATGCATCTTCCAACAAGACCACACCTCTTAATCCTTCTCAAACACTTTCACCAGCTGGGGACAAAATATTCAAACATATCAACCAGTTGGGGGTCCATTCCCATTCAAACCACATAGATGTATATACACATCTGAAAAATATCAAAGAAGGCCTGGAGAGATGGCTCAGGGGTTAGGAGCAGTTGTTGCTCCTGCAGATGACCTGGGATTGATTCCCAGGAGCCACATGGTAGCTTACAACTGTCTGTAACTACAATCTCCGGGCATCTGAGGCCTTCTTCTGGATTCTACAGGTACCTGGTACTCACAAGGTACACAGACATACACGCAGGCAAAATACTCATACACATTAAAACAGATAAAAACAACAAAATCCCAAGGAAATGAGGATCACATGACCTGTAACCCAGGCAAGTCCCTAGGGGGTGAGTCTGAGCCCACAGCTCTGGTGGGAGAAAGGGGTCATGAGAAAACCAAACACACTCATAGAATTTCACCTCAAATTCCTACCAATAGGGTCTTGGTTTAAAATCCCAGAGTGTACCATACAGTACCACAGTTGTGTATAGTTCTCTAGGCAGCAAGGGAAGGCCTCTATAGGACAGACTGCTATGTTTAAAACGAAAATCCTTCATGCATGAAAAGAGCAGAGGGAAGGATATATACCACCGTTTGTTCCATTTTGTATTGCTCTAATGGTGTAAGAACCACACCAAGCTCATACGAGCTCCCATGGGAGTACAGGAGAATGGGGTGAAAGTGGAGTGAATTTTTCAAGTGGTTTTTAGCATCTTGACTTTTGAACCATGTAAATGTATTACTTGTTCCTTCATCAGATGAATTAATCATAAAGAGAAAGAGAGCATTCTGCGTGTACCCTCATCAGACTTTGAATCTGCAGCAAGGTACAGTCCCCGTGACAACCCACCTCCATATCTCTCTTCTGCCTTTTCTGTGTCCCTGCAGAGCAAGCCTTCCCCCAACACACACGTATGTGTATATGCACATATCACAGACAACATACACGCAAAGACACACACTCACAGGCACACCTGCATGTGTATTCACACTTACACATCATGCACACGCATACACCACAGAAACCACACATACACTTCCAGGGCAGAATGGCACTGGGCTGAGATCGCAAGCCCCTCAGGCCTTGGCAGAACCAAGTTGCAGGTCTAATTTGCATGGCAGGGGCATCCTGCTCCCTGGCCGCAGTCCTGGCATGGCAACTCTCCCAGGAAAACGGAGACAAGGAGCTTTGTCCTGTCAAAAACGGGGGACACAAAGGCCCGGAAACATGGGCTGATTAGAAGGAGGGGGAACCTGTGTGGCCATTTGGCCTGCCTGAGGACCCCTGCCTGTGGTTCCCTGTCTGTTGCCAAGAAACCTGTGGCCGATCACCTGCCTGGACCCGGGGACCACAAGCCCCAGGGTGCAGAAAACTTTCGCTTTGCAGCCAAGTGCACACTGTCTTGACTCAAAAGAGAGCTGTTCCCATCTCCAAGGAAATGGGCCTTCCTGCCCAGGGGCCCTAATGTCTGAAGGGATCAGGAGGGAGCTGCCTAGTGGTTCTGGAAGGTTTCCACACGCTGTCCTCACCACTTATGGGTAGGGAAATGCCGAGGAGGAACTTGGTGCAACCATCTCCCACAACTGTCCTTTCAAATGTGACATGTGACACTCGCACACACACCTTGCTGTCAAGGCTGGGTGGAGAAATTAAACACACGCACTGCAGCCCCTTGCCCAGTCCTTTGACACACTGTGGCACGTCCAGGTCATTCTGCCACCCAAGGACTTCAGGCACAGAACTTCGGCTGTGTGTTCCTTTTGAGTGTGGCCACTGTGCTGGTCTTCCTGTCTGCTGACATACCCACTGCAGAGGTAAGCCAGGCCTCCGCCCTTCCTGTGTCCAGGGCCTTCCGTTGGCCCTGTTAGCACTAATGCCACAAGTGGCCCCCTAAGCTCCCTGAACTCTGTGTGAGACACATATCTTCAGTGCCACCCTGGGAATCTGTGACGTCAGCACCGTGTTCTTCACCAGCTCCTGTGACTTCCTCATCTGTTTATCTGAGGTCTTCACCTTCCCATTTATGGATTTCTTGGAGCTGGTTGTTTGGTGGTCTGGTTTGTCTATTTAACTAGCTCGTTTTTGGTCTCTGGAGAAAGGGTTTTGCTATATAGGCAAGCGGGTCCACCTAGGCAGCCCTCTGAACGCTGTGATGTCAGGTGTATGACGCAGTATCTGTCTTGGTTAGAAGTGCTTCCTATGAGCTGTGACAATTTGTCTTTAAGTGATATGTTTAGATTATTCACATATAAAGTTATTATTGATGCTGGGCATGTTGGCACATGCCTTTAATGCCAGTAGTTGGGAGGCAGAGGTAGGTGGAACCCTGAGAGTTTGAGGCCAGCCTGGTCTACACAGTGAGTTCCAGGCCAATCAGTGATGCATCATTGGACCCTATATATAAAAAAGTTATAATCATATAACTATATAACAGTTCTGCTGTCTGATTCACTCTATTTTTTTCTGCTTTTTTGTTCAGTTAATATAACATTTATTATATAATTTTCTCTTCTTTCACATGATATTCATATTTTCTTAAATTAGTGACTGTCCTAGAGACAGGCAATATCCTTTGCAACTATTTTAAAGGCACTGTGTTTTCTTGCAGTGCAAGATGAGACCCAGGGCTTGCAAGCCCCAACCCCGAAGGTGCACAGTTCCTGCTCCTGCCTGCACCCATGGCAACGCTCCCGTTGCTCTCACCTACGCACATGTGGTGATCACACAACCAGCAAAGCTGCCACCCCAGTGAACAAGTGGTCGCCAAGCCGCTCAGTGGGGAGCGAGAAAGTTAAACCCAGTAGTATCCCTTCATCTACACCTCCATCGCTTGCCCTGTTTTATGCACAGGAGTTTCCGATGTGTGTAATTTTCCTCGTGGAAGAACTTTTAGCACTTTTTTCCCTCTTAAAATTTATTTATTTCATGTGATGGCTGTAAGCTACACGTGGGTGCTGAACCCAGGTCCCCCTGCAAGAGTAGCTTGTGCTCCTAACCACCGAGTCATCTCTCCAGCCTTTACTCTTAGTATTTCCTGCAGGATGAATCTGTTTGCAATGCATTCCCTCAGTTTTTATCTGGCAGAACCTTTCTCCTTTGCTGCTGAAAATAATTTTGTTTTATGTACAATTCGAGTCATGGTTTGCTTTCAATGTTTTAAATGTTTACCCACTCTCTTATTTTTTCCTTAAAGATTTATTCTTTAATTACGAGTATGTTGTCTGCACCTGCGTTCATATATTGCCAGGAGAACACAATGACCTCGGAAGCCAGAAGAAGACATTAGAACACCCCCCCCACACACACACACACACTAACGCTACAGGTGGTTGTGAAAATTCAGACATGGATGCTGGGAACCAAACCTCTGAAAGAGCAATTTAGGATCTTAATCACTAAGCCATCCCTCCAGCCCCTACCCCCACTCTCCCCTTGCTCACAACACTGTCTCTGATGGAAAATCGACAGTTGCCCCCCTTGTGAAGTAGTTTCTTCAGATTCTTTCTGGATTTCTCTCTGGTTCTCTGATAAATATGAAATGGCCCCACAGGTGAGCTTTTGTATCCACTGTATTGCTGTCCCCTGAGATTCCTGGTTTCCTCTGGTGATTCCAGGGGACTCCAGCTGCTGCTACCGGGAGCGTGTCTCCCCTCCTCTTCCCGTATCTGCAGCATACTCTACCAGATGTGCTGTCTGAAGCTCCTTGCTACGGAGTTCTGCTTGTCTAATCTGTATTCTTTTTCCTCTTCGGTTCCAGAGCTTCTGTTGACCTTTGGTCACAACTGGTCTGTGTTTTACCCACTGATGATGCCTGTCATTTAATGCTTTTAAACTTCCAGCATCTCGTTTTTGATGTTTATGACCCTGCCACATTGCTTCTTCTCTTGACTGGTGTGGGCTGCCTTCTGACAGGACCTCTACATATTCAGACTATTCTGGCTCCCTGTTCAGCCACCTGAGTCATGTCCTATTTGGGTATTTTCTTCACCCTTCAGACTACACTTTTTCCTTTTAGGATATTTTGAAACTTTTTGCTGAAACCCAGACATGAGGTATTGGTTAACAGGAGTGGAGTTGAATGTTAATTTTATGTGATCCTGGCTGGAAACTGAGCTGTGTTTAACATTTGCTGAGTGTCTTAGTCAGTGTTCTATTGCTGTGAAGAGACACCGTGGCCATGGCAACTCTTTCAAAGGAAAACGTTTAATTGGGGTTGACTTACAGGTTCAGAGATTTAGTCCATTATCATCGTGGAGGGGAGCATGGAGGCACGCATGGTGCTGGAGAGCAGCGGAGAGTTCTACATCTGGATCAGCAGCAGCAGGAAGAGAGAGACACTGGGCCTAGCTTGAGTTTCTGGAACCTCAAAGCCCACCCTTTGAGTGACACCTTTTCTCCAACATAGCCACACCTCCAACAATGCTACTCTCTATAACCCTATGAGGGGC